CTGTCTCGCGCATGCGTAAAAAAAAATGATCACGTTTCAACACAACTCGAAGCCAGTTTCTCTGCACACAGAACAAATGGACTGGGCATTAACAATATTCAATACATAGAGCCTTAGGCAGCTTCACATCGCGTTGTGTTATGTACATCAATTGTCCTCAATTCATCCATATAGTTCCTACACCTTGACATATCCCTTTCACTATCTGTGTGTTCACATGTGTCAACACACAATCATATAACTGATGATATGCAGATAAATGTTGCAAGGAGGTCCTGTGTGCGGTATCACAAAGTGCGTTCAAATGACAAGACGTTCGATGCATCCCATAGAATTGTTTAAATATTCCCAATGATGTTCAGGGTATAGTACATGGACATTGAAGTGTGTGTGTGTGTGTTTTATGCAAATGCTATGGCGTAGGAGCTGGGTGGTAATGCACGTCATATTATTACCGACTGTGTGGTTTACTCATACACATCTCAACTGTGAGTGAATGAGTACGGCTTTACGCCGCTTTAAGCAATATTCCAGCAATATTACGGCGGGGGACACCAGAAATTGGCTTCATACATTGTACCCGTGTCGGGAATCGAACCTGGGTCTTCGGCGTGACCACTAGGCTACCCGACCCCCCCCCTTATCAAGTGTGATAACATCATTGACACGGCGGTATTTATCAGTGAGTGAGTACAGTTTTACGCCGCTTTTAGCAATATTCCAGCAATATCACGGCGGGGGACCCCAGAAATGGGCTTCACACATTGTACCCATGTCGGGAATCGAACCCGGGACTTCAGCGTGACCACTAGGCTACCCGACCGCCCACTCATCAAGTGTGATAACATCATTGACACGGCGGTATTTATCAGTGAGTGAGTACGGTTTTACGCCGCTTTTAGCAATATTCCAGCAATATCAAGGAGGGGGACACCAGAAATGAGCTTCACACATTGTACCCATGTCGGGAATCGAACACGGGCCTTCGGCGTGACAAGCGAACGCTTTAACCACTAGGCTACCCGACCGCCCCCTTATCAAGTGTGATAACATCATTGACACGGCGGTATTTATCAATGAGTGAGTACGGTTTTACGCCGCTTTTAGCAATATTCCAGCAATATCACGGCGGGGGACCACAGAAATGGGCTTCATACATTGTACCCATGTCGGGAATTGAACACGGGTCTTCCCGGGAAGCGAACGCTTTAACCACCAGGCTACCCGACCGCCCCTTTTCGGTATCTATCAAACTACTATAGCAAGTGCATATACATGCACATTTGTACAAGACAACAAACACCATGCAAGTTCACAATAAAGCAAGGGTTCGTGTCAAAAAAAGTAAATACAGGCAACATTATATATGGCAGGAGTAGTTTACAAAACTGGTGTTTATTTATCAAATATTGAAGACTCTTGTTATTATATTTCATTAAGATAATTTAACAACTGTTTTTATTCTGTAAAGGATGTTCATTTGAGAGCCTAGATGTAAGTCTAGTCAGGTGTCACGGAGCTGTGCTCCAATGATCAGGGGTGTCATGAAAAAAAAGAATAATCTTGGTCATAGGTTCACTGGTTTATTAATGACGGCTAATTGTACTAATAATTGACAATTAAAGAAAAGGTAAAGCCAATCTGCGCTGACAGAGATCACAATTTAATTCCATCAGCGCAAATATACAACCAGTTTAGCTACACAACACTTTGACAAGATACGGACCAGGGCCAACTTGCACAAAGCGATCTTAGCGCTACGACTATTGTAAGCCTATGTTAAAGTATGGGAGTTACGATCATCTTAGCGCTAAGATCGCTTTGTGCAAGTGGGCCCTGATGTGTTGACTGCCAATTAAGTCGGCTGCGACCAATTAACACCTGAGTTAATTTACTCAGCACTCTAGTGACACTCTATAACAACTACTACTACTACTACTACTACTACTACTACTACTACTACTACTACTACTACTGTCACTGCACCGACTGTTACTACCACTACCACACCACCACCACCACTACTACTACTACTTCTACTACTACTACGACTACTACTACTACTACTACTACTACTACCACCACCACTTCTACTACTACTACTACTACTACCACCACCACTTCTTCTACTACCGCTACTACTACTGCTGTCACTGCACCAACTGTTACTACTACTACTTCTACTACCAGTACTACTACTACTACCACCACCACTTCTACTACTACTTCTACTGTCACTGCACCGACTGTTACTACCACTACCACACCACCACCACCACTACTACTACTACTTCTACTACTACTACTACTACTACTACTACTACCACCACCACCACCACCACCACCACCACTACTTCTACTACTACTACTACTACTTCTACTACTGCTGCTACTAGTGCTACTACCACCACCACCACCACCACTACTACTACTACTACTACTTCTACCACCACCACTTCTTCTACTACTGCCACTACTACTACTACTACTACTACCACCACCACTTCTTCTACTACTGCTACTACTACTGCTGTCACTGCACCGACTGTTACTACTACTACTTCTTCTACCAGTACTACTAGTACTACCACCACCACTACTACTACTACTACTACTACTACTACTACTACCACCACCACCACCACCACCACCACCACCACCACCACTACTTCTACTACTACTACTACTACTACTGCTGCTACTACTGCTACTACCACCACCACCACCACTACTACTACTACTACTACTACTACCACTACAACTACCACCACCACTTCTACTACTACTACTTCTGCTGTCACTGCACCAACTGTTACTACCACCACCACCACCAGCACCACCACTACTACTTCTACTACTACTACTACTGTCACTGCACCAACTGTTACTACTACTACCAGTACTACTACTTCTACTTCTACTACTACTTCTACTGTCACTGCACCGACTGTTACTACCACTACCACACCACCACCACCACTACTACTACTACTTCTACTACTACTACTACTACTACTACTACTACTACCACCACCACCACCACCACCACCACCACCACCACCACCACTACTTCTACTACTACTACTACTACTACTTCTACTACTACTACTACTACTACTACTACTACTGCTGCTACTACTGCTACTACCACCACCACCACCACTACTACTACTACTACTACTACTACTACCACTACAACTACCACCACCACTTCTACTACTACTACTTCTACTGTCACTGCACCAACTGTTACTACCACCACCACCACCAGCACCACTACTACTACTTCTACTTCTACTACTACTACTACTGTCACAGCACCAACTGTACTACTACTGCTACTACTACGACTACCACTACTAATACTACTACTACTATCAACACCATCACTTCTACTACTACTACTACTACTACTACTACTGTCACTTCACCGACTGTTACTACTTCTACTACCATTATTACTACTGTCACTGCACCGACTGCTGCTACTACTACTACTACTACTACTACTACTACTACTACTACTACTACTACTTCTACTACTACTACCACTACAAATGCTACTAGTTAATGTCTAGAGCTACGACTACCACTGCTACAACTAACAATACCACGACTGTATATAGACAGTCAACTTGTCAGGTCAGTAGTCTTACGCAATGTCATGCACAGGACGATGAAGGACAGCCAGTATTCGTTATATTCAGGTTGCTTCTGTATTAAAATAAGCCCTTGCAAAATAAGGTAGTCAGATTGCACTTTTATCCGCCACATTTGAAAGCGTGACAATTCACAAGCACACTGATATACTCTACTTTGTCAACACACATAATCATGGTGACACGACCTTACTGAAACGAAACCTTACTCTGACTCTGATGTCTTCAATTACACTTCAACAGCCCCTCAATGAATTGCAGTAAGAACGCACATCGACATTCCGGAACACTGTGAGCATACATAAAGACATGTGTATTGGCACTGAAACTAATTCAAAGGGTCGCTTCAATGACGAACTATCTAAATACACAAACCCACTTGAATGTGTAGTTTAAATGAATATTGTAATACAAATAAACTGTTAATGTATATCAATGTATTCGCTCATGTAGGCCATGTAATACACATCTAATTTGGTTGAACCCTGAACCCTGCAAGACTGATTTAGATAAAAAAGTGGCACGACATCCCGCTTTAACCACTAGGCTACCCGACCGCCCCTAAAAACCACAAGTACAGAAGTACATTTATTTTCAAAGTCCTGATTGATTCCCTTCATTCAGCAATTTCTGACCGGTTGAACGGACGACAGTCGATTCTATATGTATTCGTATTTAGATTTACCAAGGCCTTTAAACATTATTTTTATATGAAACAACCTGTAACCAAAAAACGTCACCAAAGTATTACTTGGCTGTGAACAGTCGCCCAAACACTGCATACTTTAAGGGGAAGTAAATTAACATAGCACAGATTTTCAAGCAGATATTACACATTTCATTTTAGATAGATCCGAGATACATGTAGATCTTTCAGAACTAATTTATACACTTAATTTAAAGCGACAAAACTCTTTCCATATTCATAATAAATCTCTGCCAAACACATCGTTCATTTACGATTCCGACTATATCGTGAACATGTGTTCATGAATCACTATCAAATAGAGATTATACCAGGTGTTCGCGAAAAGGTGAGCGCATGTACCTGTCACACATTGCCATTACACATTTATGAGAGTCGGGAAACATCAAAGAATATAAATAGCAATGATTCAATGATTGTTACTGATTATTCAAGGGGTGGGCAATCAATGGTTGATGCTGTTGCTTCAGCTAATTAAATACAAAATTATATTTTCTCAGAAAACATTTCAACATCAAACTTTGCACTGCATCTCTCCCATTAGAGTAGAAAGTGTTTCTTAAATTTGAAAAGAAGCCACGTAGTAGTTTCAACATGTATGTATATCTCTATCTCCACCCCTTAGCCACACGGGTTTGTTAGGGCGTGGCTTTTCTTTATCTAACAAAAACAAAACATAAATCCAAAAGAGTGGTCTTGTGGTACACATTGCGCTAACAAAAACAACGACAGTTCGCACGTCTAATATGCAGATAACAATAGTAATTTCATACGCTTCCCGAAGCCTGACACACTTACAACACCGCACTCATCAACCACATAGCAACCACCCCTAGCAGAAACTTAATGACGTAAACCCAGGGCCCAGTTGAATGTCGAGATGAGTCCATAAATATATATCTAGAGGATTAAAGCGGAGCTTAAAACATCTTATTGTACATCAGTGTGATCACGTGCAGGTAACTCTAGATCTATTTGTGTGAGGTGTGTTGCTGGTTGGTGTATATGCGGTGGCGGGTGTAGTTCAAACAGGATTCTATTTCGCTGTCGGATACCTAACTGGATTCTGGTTGTCCAAGGTACGTCTTCATTTTGATGCCAACAAAGCCATCCCTTGTGTTGTCATTCCTGTTACTGCACGTAAGAAAACAATACTATATCAGTGAAGCGTCAAACTTGTCATTTGGTTGATAATGTCCGTTCTAAATTTTCATGTCACTTTGTAACACAATAATAGGCCAGGCCATGACTTTTCAAGGACAGAGCTAAGTTCGGGTACCGTCTGGCGCTTGAAGAAACAATCTTTTCAAAAGCACAGTGATGTTGAACGAAGCTGCCACAATCAACCAGATTTGATCGCTTCGGGGTTGAACACAGGGTTACAATGACCTCGCTGGCCTGTCGGTGTTTTCTACCTTGTATCTTACCTTATCAGGTCATCGTGTTTTAAATGTGTTTGGATCATATCATATGCATATCGATTAGAGACGGATGAATAATTTTGTTAATCTCGACACAAAGTTGGATATATTTTAGATTTCTTTTATTCCTCTGACGGATGATACTTATAAGTTCGACTATTTTTCAAACGTAATTTGTAATTATATTTTGCGGGGAGGAAAATATGGCGGTCATGGCAGATTTATGCGTAATGTTCAGAGGGAAAGTGTGTGTGTGTGTGTGTGTGTGTGTGTGTGTGTGTGTGTGTGTGTGTGTGTGTGTGTGTGTGTGTGTGTGTGTGTGTGTGCGTGCGCGTGCGTGCGTGCGTGCGTTTGTGTGTCCGTTTTTGGATCGACCCTGGAATAAAAATCGTGGAGAATGTAATAGTGTCGTGGCTATTGACGGAAGAAAGGGGAGAGGTCAGACTTATTATTTTGTTTGATACTCCCAGATCTGCACATGTTGATTGGAATGATAAAGGCGGAAACGTGTCTTAACAGTGGTTGCAAAATATTTCACCAGTGACAATTTTTGACAAGTATCGTGATTGATTTAGATAGTACATGGGTCTGTGAAGTGAGGTTGACGGTACAAACAGTAAGCAATAAGTAACTGTGCAAAGAAATCATGTTTAACTTACGGGCAATCAAATTAAGACTGAGAAATGTTGTTCAATGCCGAAGAAAGCAGTATTGCAGCTATATAACGGCGGACTGAAAATACACGAATCCGGTCCAGGCAAACGTCATGTTTTGATATAATGCTCTTTGAGAATTGTACCCACGTGTAGACCACTTTAAAAGTTCGACAGGAAAGGACAACTCGTGTCGATGACCTGAATAACCTGTCCAAAAGTTGTAGAGTTATCACCCTTTACGTTACTTTCAATTGCCAGTAATGAATTTTATCTCAAATGCTTTCAATAAAACATCTTATCACAAGAACTAATGTTCTGCGCGGCAACATTTCCGACAGGATAATGCTAGGTTTTGGCAGGATCTTATGTAGTTCATCCATGTCTGCATCCATGAGATTACACATCTCTTTACCCTTAAGGCCTATAAGGTCATTTGAGCCAATATGTAGTAGGATAGTACAGTGCATATATTTAATTGTACTGTTTATATTTTTCACAAATTAAACTTAAACTAGGAAATTATAAAATTCGAAAGTCGCTAGACCAGTATTTCTCGTTCTTATCGCCTCTGGTCGACCATGACGGCTGCTCCTTGGCAAGCTCATTCACGCGAACAGTAAATTACGTAATCAAAGATAAAGTCGGCAGGTACGGGCAGATAACAGAGACCGAAATAACAACCTCGAGGTAATGATTAATGTGATACGAGTAGAGCTGTGGGGGTAAAAAGGGGCTAAAACAAAGACTGGTCGGCTCGGAGTCAGTATACTGTGTCTAAGTGGGGTATTCATGTTAAACTGCGGCATGGTATCTCAGTGAGCTAGCACTATAAATCGGAATCAGTCCGGGCTAGTACAAGCAGCCTCACACACACACGTGCATGTACGTCGCTATATAAGTGCAATAATCTTGGACGCGACGTTAAACCCAATTTCACCTCACCTTATAACAACGTACATTCAAACGCGCACCGTTTAGGTTTACAATTACCGTATTCACTCCATTAGCTGTTATCGTCTAGCTCCGTATATATTTAGGAAATGCGCGTAGTCAATTGCAACATAGCTGCCGTGATTCATTACCGTAGTCAATAAAGTAGTCACTACTAAAACTAATGATTACACTAACTAAAACCGAGCTAAATCTTCTACTGCGTACATTCGTATCTTTATTTGGATCAAGTTTCTTTCTGTATTTGCCGAAATTATTATGTTGTGATAATTATTACTGAAACTACAAATATTAATGTTTACCGTCTTTTCATAAGTAAATGTCATGTTCCTCATCTAAGCAGTTTTGCGCAGTCTACCGTACATGCTATATTAAAATGTTACGACTACTCAATTTAGCTGTTAAGAAATTTTATTTGGCATTACCGTTATTACTCCAGTAAATATTGCATCTGTTGTATAGTATTGTTACTGTACATACTCCAATATCAAATACATTGTCGTTATTATTATGCCGTTATTAGATGGACGCTGTGTTAGAACATTATTATCATTATTATCATTGTACGTCACTATTATATATTAATTGATGTAATTTGAATGGTATGACACACTTACTTGAATAAACCCTAAGGACCTCACAGCTCTCTTCTCTCTTGGATCAAGGCTAGCTCGCAATAGCTAATTCCCCAAATCGAGGCCTTACTGTTATTTGAATCCCCTCAAGCGTCTTAAAGGAAAAAATTCCATGAAGTGGTTTTCAAGTTATAGGTCGCAAAATTGTTTGAGCAAAAACATTCCAAGTAAATATATTAGAAAAAGCTGCATTTTGTCAGACAATCCAAATATTGAAAACAAAATTCGCATTGCACCTCCCCTATTGGTATAGACAGTGTTCACAAAGTTCTATGCAGTAGTTTTCAAGTTGTAGGTCGCACAAAAAATGTTCCAAGAAGGCCGGACGGATGGACGGATGGACGAAATTCCTTTCTATAACTACATGTATATATCCCACCCTTTTCTAGAAAGACTTGTATGTCCGAAGTTTGCTTCTGCCTGACCCGCGCACTCCAGTTTCCGTCTGGACGTTAGTTTCCTATATGGTTATTACACTAATACTCAAAATTCGCATTGCACCTCCCCTATTGGTATAGAAAGTGTTCACAAAGTTGGTAAGGAATCTATGCAGTAGTTTTCAAGTTGTAGGCCGCATAAAAAATGTCCCAAGGGGGACGGAAGGACGGACGGAGGACGGAATTCCTTTCTATAACCACATGTATATATCCCACCCTTTTCTAGAAAGACTTGTATGTCCGAAGTTTGCTTCTGCCTGACCCGCGCACTCCAGTTTCCGCCTGGACGTTAGTTTCCTATATGGTTATTACACTAATACTCAAAATTCGCATTGCACCTCCCCTATTGGTATAGAAAGTGTTCACAAAGTTCGTAAGGAATCTATGCAGTAGTTTTCAAGTTGTAGGCCGCACAAAAAATGTCCCAAGGGGGACTGAAGGACGGACGGACGGAATTCCTATCTATAACCACATGTATATATCCCACCCTTTTCTAGAAAGACTTGTATGTCCGAAGTTTGCTTCTGCCTGCCCCGCGCACTCCAGTTTCCGCCTGGACGTTAGTTTCCCATATGGTTATATACTTATTAAAAGCAGCGTTTTGCACAGTCTTAACTAAAAGCCGTTTTTCCACAGGAATAGCTGAACTTGTGATATACGGTATAATATTCTGTAGATAAGCTCTGATTCTAAAGTTCAAGTTCTTTCTTGTTGATTTATCCGCCCACATAAATATTCGTTTGTTAATTCTCTGGTGTTCATTCTTGTCCAATGCACAGCAACGCTTAACCACTGACGGACCTTTGCTGACGTATTGACAGACATTTGAAGTAATTTGATGTTTTAAAGACGAGTTTAGTCTAACTGGAACATATCTTCTCTATTTCAAACTTATACATTCTATTCCACATTATTGGATAAATTGTCATAATACAGTGGTACAGTAAAAACGGAAGAACAAAGAAAATATAATTTGTAAGTTACTTTCTGACCTTGTGAAGTCCCTAAATACACTTCACAGGGAATGGGAACTTAAATTAAACACCATGCTAATACACAATTATCTCCAAAAATGCTTCAACATAATTCATAAATTTTCTGAAGATAGTTATGCATAAAATCTTCCTTATATAATTTTACACCGAATTGTAGTAATTGTGGTAATGTTTATATTAAATTGGGACAAAGAGAAAACGATCACTGTAGTTTATGCAATGATGAACACGGATCTCTTGAAAATCCATTTTCTAGATGCTATAAAGTTTATTAAATCATAGATTCTTCACAAGTATGATGTGAAGAAATTACTGACGCGCATGCAGAAATATATCGAACGTAATTTATACTCTTTCTATTGCGTTTAACTTGTTGTCTCCAAATATTAATAACGTTTGATATGTTTCTACATGCGCGTCAGTAATTACTTGACATCATTTATTTTTGTGCGTGTCAGTGTTTTCCCTCTATTATATGTTTGTGTTAATTAATAACTATAACTCAGAGGTCAGAAATCTTATACAATAGATGGAACACTTCAACAGCATAGAACAAATCATATATTGTGAAGACCACGGGTCTTAAATGGACAAATGCTCAACATTGAAGTAACTGCATCATTGATTACTTTGGTTATATCGATCAGATATAGTTTTAACTTTTCTACAAGTCTGTATATCTCAATCTCTACCCCTCAGCCACACGGATTTGTAAGGACGTGGCTTTTCTTTATGTAAAAAAAACCCACAAAATAAACCTAACAGAGTGCGCTAACAAAAAACAATGACAGTTCGCACGTCTTACATGCAGAAAGCAAAAGTAATTTAATACGCTTCCTCAATCCAATGATAAATATGAAATGTCATGTCTCCATTAATTCATTTCTAACTCATAATTCTCTGTCACGAACTTTATATACCTAATGCAACCACACCATTGCAGTTATCAACAGTTTGATTTGTTACAATTTTATTACCATTCCATAGTTACCAAAGTTTTTAGACGCATTTTAACCTTATAATAGCAGTGGGAGTGGGTTTTCCCATTTGGTTTGGAAATCGATATTCGAAGTGGTTTAAGATTAGCTAACGCCCTGAAGCTGTGTTGTAAAATATAACCAGCTATCTCAATACCCTGTACTCAGTTGACTGTGTGGAGTTTTACGTGTGCAGAATAAACACTTAGCTCACTGCTGCACACTACAACACATGCTGATTGTTCAAAACGTCAAAGATAGCGAGTTCGCCTCTGTAGAACTGGATGCACAACGTAACATTTCTAGGACTTATTTTTCACGATATAAGCATCAACATCAGACTATTGATTGGACACAATTAGTCATTACAATGTGCATGATTGAGTTCATTCCAAAACAATCAAACGTAGTATTCTAACTTTCAAACATTATTTTGTCTTATTTTGTCAGCAATGTTCCAAACACATGTGGGGAGGTGGGGTAACCTATAGATAAAAGCGTTTCGCTCGTCACGCTGAAGACCCGGGGTCGATTCCCTTCATGGGCACAATGTGTGAAGCCTATTTCTGGTGTACCCCGCCGCGATATTGCTGGAATAGTGCTCACGATGGCGTAAAACCATGCTCACTCACTCGATTTGGGGTCCTTTTCCAACCGGGAGACCCGTGATAATCCAGGGTAGAATAGGTATTCAGCAACCCATGCTTGCTGTAAAAGGCGACCGTGCTTGTCGTAAGAGGCGACTGACGGGATCGGGGGGTCTGGCATGCTGACTTGGTTGATACATGTCATCGATCCCAATTACGTGGATCGATGCTCATGATATTAGTCAGTGGATTGTCTGGTCCAGACTCGTTTATTTACAGACCGCCGTTATATAGCTGGAACATTGCCGAGTGCGGCGTTAAACAACAAACCAACCAACAAAGCCGGAATTCACGTGGGCAAATACATGTAGAAGTTTCATGCACACACAACACCACGGAATATTGAATCTTAGTTCATTAGTGTTCAGGACACAATGTACATGTATGTCCATAAAAGTAATGAAGCATGCCATAAGAATAATTCTTTACAACGTTTTTTTTTCAGCTCCGGACATAATGAATTCCAGCTACCAAAGATGTTTGTTTATATGTATGTCAATGACAACTCTCGCTACTGTAGCTTTCTATTGGACAGTTAATCCAGATGTGGGTGTGTTCCAAATCACAACTTTCAATTCAACAAAAGTTAGCTTAAGAGAAACGTCCATTCTCGGTGTCTCTCAAAAGCATCCTCTCGTACTTCGTAGACGAAATGTGGTCATCACTTCAGCAGATTCTCCTCATGCAACTAAACGCATTGTGTGGATGAACGTCCCACCCTGGTACAAGACAGTTACATCTTTCGCCCACTGTTACGTTCGTTCGTGTGAAATAAGTACAGACGAGGAACATATTTCATCAGCTGATGTTGTGGTTGTCAATGGTGTTAATTTGCCATCATCAAAACACCCAAATACGGACATGAACCAGGTGTGGATTATGTATGGATGGGAAGCACCTCCCCACTATTCAACTAACACGATTTTCCGTTCTGACTGGAATGGACGTTTTAACTGGACATTGACGTACCGACTGGATTCGGATATACCATTTCCTTACAATAGGATAGTGTACACTGGAGGCAGTGTGAATATAAGTGATGTTGTAAGACGGAAAAGCCGATCTATTGCTTGGTTTGTAAGCAACTGTGGTACACCCTCAAAGAGGGAAGTGTATGTTGGAGAACTGCGGAAACATATTGATGTCGACATTTATGGTGCCTGCAGAAATAATAAGAGTTATGACTGTCCAAAAGGAAGGTCTTGTCTTGGTCTGTTAAACACCACGTATAGATTTTATCTTTCGTTCGAAAATTCCCTATGTAAAGACTACATCACAGAGAAGTTCTACAACACGTTCATGACTTCAGCTATTCCCATCGTTCGTGGAGGCGCTGACTATGCACGTCTTCTGCCAGAAAGAACCTTCATCAACACGGCATCATTTGACAGTCCAAAGAGTTTGGCGAACTATATCCGATATTTGGAGAGGAATGAGACAGCTATGGGGGCGATTTTAGAAAAGAAGCTCAAGTATGAATACATTAATTCAGAAGGAACAGATTTCGATTGGAGGTGTCAGCTGTGTGCCAAGTTACATGGAAATACTACGAGAAAGTCTTACACAGATATGAAACAATGGCTTAAGGACGGAAAGTGCATAGAACAGCCAAAAGATCTGCCGTAGTGCTTGGGAATGTAAGAAACGTGTCATAATCATTGAAGATCAATACAAGATTTGCACACGAGGCAGTGGGAGTCCCCAGTTGATACTTGTAATACACTTGTTAAAGAACTAACCCTATGTTTGCTCTCTCTGTGTGCTCTTCAATACACGTGTTCAAGATCCAGATGTTGTATGTGTCGATACTGGTGTTTGTGCTGATTGTGATGCTGATGGTCACGCTGGAGGCTTGTGTTGATACAAATGCCAATATAAATATTGATGTTTATGACTGTACGAACCGAACACTTTAATTCTAATGTTTTAAATTATTGAAAATGTATGTGAATGATAATATAAAACACTTTGGTGCATTCTCTACATGTCTTGTGAGCAGAGGCGTCCATATTGAGACAGCAAATTCTCTGGATACAGATTCATTTCTTCATGCTTCAATGTCCATAGCCCGAAAAGACCCGTCGGAGAAATATGGTGTGACAATGGTACTAACTTTATCAGTGCAGCTAAAGAACTGCAACAAGCAGGAGCAGAAATGAGCCAGGAACGTTATCAGTCTTAGCTTCTGAAAGGTAATATTGACTGGAAATTCAACCCTAGATCAGCAAGCCATATCGTTGGCGTTTGGGAACGTCTGACCAGGTCCGTTTTCCTCTTTTTAGAGAGTTTGGTGAACGTTTGAATGATGAGTCATATCGAACACTATTGTACGAAGTTGAAGCCATTGCAAACTCCCGACACTTCACAACTGTATCTGACAGTACTGACGATCTCAATCCTTAAACGCCTAATCATCTACTGATGATGAAGTCAAATGTGTCTATATTACCTCCAGGTCATTTTGAGGGCACGGGTGGCCCAGTCGTCTAAGGCGCCGCGATTCGCTGTGCAGAGTTGCGTCCCTTGGCCACGCCAGAAACCTATTATTGTGGGTTCGGATCCCGGTTCGCTCCGATTATGTTTCTAGGTTTGTCAGCACCATACCCGTGCTCGTAGGTTTCACCGAAGTGGTAAACGTCTGAAACCTGCATCACTTCGGGCTTTCCTCCCACATTAAGCTGACACGCCGTGATATAACTGGAATACTGTTAAAAGCGGCGTAAAACCAACCCACTCACTCACTCACTCCAGGTCATTTTCAACATGACGATGTCTACATGCAGCGGAGATGGCGAAGGATCCAGTATCCTGCAAATGTATTCTGATCTTGTTGGTGGAAAGAGTATGTAGTATCTTTACAAGTGCGACAGAAATAAAATGTGTCCTCACGCGGTCGCAATTGGACAAATGTTGTTCTGATCATGGACCATAGCTCACCTAGACTCCACTGGCCAATAGGACGACTGATCGCAACCGACTCCGACAAAAGAGGACTTGTTAGAAGTGTGGTATTGAGAACACTGAAAGGGGAATTCCGCAGACCAGTTCACAAACTTGTAGTACATTTTACTACAAGTGAATGCGCGATAATTACAAAGAGAGAATGTTACACGATGAACTGATACTAGTATTTTGCAGTGTTATATTGTGTTAGTCCTGCACGTTTCAAGTGTATTTAAACATATATGTTTAAGAGGCATTGTGTGTACGAGCAGAACACTCACTCTAACGTTTCAAATGATTAAAAGTATAAGTTAATTATAATATTTTAAAATATTAACATTAGTCCATAAGTGTCGTTGGTTGAATGAGTAAATCACTTGAACCTATAATTAAAGCATTTGTTACTACTGAGGTACAGGCTTTAAACCCAGCCAGCTGCCTAAACTTTGGCAGTTTTATATTAAATTGTGTGGAAAACTTAGCAAGAGTTTTGTTTCTCATTGTAATTTTCTGAACCTTATGATCCTCAACGTATGTATTTGATAACGCTAACGGTAAGGCTGCAACGATATGATGCCGCTACAATGATGCTGATGCAGGGGATATCTGCGAGGTGTGTGATAAACTCAGCCCGATTGGTGAACATGTTTTCAGGCTGTTTTACATCATGATATTAAATTAAAATGTGCAATCCCCTATCTTAATACACAGAAAGATCGTATAACACTGGCAAGTACTTTTGGTGACATTCAGTGTTTACGTAATAGGCCTACATCGCTGAGGTAGCTTTGCCTTGAAGTGTCTTGTACATTTGACAATGAATTGTATTTTATACTGCATTTACAATTCTTAAAGTCAGATGTTGCTGTTATGTTACTCTTGTGAGTATTATTGGATAGGGGCAACCCCAATACCTGACGAAGCCCTGGCCACAATGTCTGTCCAAACAGCGTTGTTCACTGGTAAACGTATATATTGCTAACTGCAGCATAAACGTCTATTCATTCATTTACAGCCATCCATTCATTTAAACATTCATTCCGTCTTTCGGAATGCATATACGTTGAACACCTCCCCCCCTACACCCAAATAGCGATGCTTTGCCTGCCTGGAGAATGGCTGTGTCCTGATGCTCCTTTTGATATTGTGCTAGCGAGCAGTGTTGGGAACACAATGTAATGCTAAACAATGGGAGTGGATTGCCCTAGGCCGTCACACATTACATTGATATAGATCACGTTTCAACACAACTCGAAGCCAGTTACTCTGCACACAGCACAAATGGACTGGGCATTAACAATATTCAATACATAGAGCCTTAGGCAGCTTCACATCGCGTTGTGTTATGAACATCAATTGTCCTCAATTCATCCATATAGTTCCTACACCTTGACATATCCCTTTCACTATCTGTGTGTTCACATGTGTCAACACACAATCATATAACTGATGATATGTTTTGCGAATGCAGATAAATGTTGCAAGGAGGTCCTGTGTGCGGTATCACAAAGTGCGTTCAAATGACAAGACGTACCATGCATCCCATAGAATTGTTTAAATATTCCCAATTATGTTCAGGGTATAGTACATGGACATTGAAGTGTGGGTGTTTGTTTAATGCCAATGCCATGGCGTAGGAGCTGGGTGGTAATGCACGTCATATTATTACGGACTGTGTGGTTTACTCATAAACATCTCAACTGTGAGTGAGTGAGTGAGTACGGCTTTACGCCGCTTTTAGCAATATTCCAGCAATATTACGGCGGGGGACACCAGAAATTGGCTTCATACATTGTACCCGTGTCGGGAATCGAACCCGGGTCTTCGGCGTGACCACTAGGCTACCCGACCGCCCCCTAATCAAGTGTGATAACATCATTGACACGGCGGTGTGTATCAGTGAGTGAGTACAGTTTTACGCCGCTTTTAGCAATATTCCAGCAATATCACGGCGGGGGACACCAGAAATGGGCTTCATACATTGTACCCGTGTCGGGAATCGAACCCGGGTCTTCGGCGTGACCACTAGGCTACCCGACCGCCCCCTTATCACGTGTGATAACATCATTGACACGGCGGTGTGTATCAGTGAGTGAGTACGGTTCTACGCCACTTTTAGCAATATTCCAGCAATATCACGGCGGGGACACCAGAAATGGGCTTCATACATTGTACCCATATCGGGAATCGAACCCGGGTCTTCGGCGTGACGAGCGAACGCTTGAACAGACAGGCTACCCGACCGCCCCTTTTCGGTACATATACATGCACATTTGTACAAGACAACAAACACCATGCAAGTTCACAATAAAGCAAGGGTTCATGTCAAAAACAGTATTTACAGGCAACATTATATATGGCAGGAGTAGTTTACAAAACTGGTGTTTAGTTATCAAATATTGAAGACTCTTGTTATTATATTTCATTAAGATAATTTAACAACTGTTTTTATTCTGTAAATGATGTTCATTTGAGAGCCTAGATGTAAGTCTAGTCAGGTGTCACGGAGCTGTGCTCCAATGATCAGGGGTGTCATAAAAAAAGAATAAATTTGGTCATAGGTTCACTGGTTTATTAATGACGGCTAATTGTACTAATAATTGACAATTAAAGAAAAGATAAAGCCAATCTGCGCTGACAGAGATCACAATTTAATTCCATCAGCGCAAATATACAACCAGTTTAGCTACACAACAGTATTACAGCGATAAAAAGGAGAGTAGCTAAAACAACACTTTGACAAGATACGGACCGCGCTAAGATGATCGTAACTCAAATACTTTAACATAGGCTTAACAATAGTCGTAGCGCTAAGATCGCTTTCTGCAAGTGGGCCCTGATGTGTTGACTGCCAATTAAGTCGGCTGCGACCAATTAACACCTGAGTCAATTTACTCCACACTCTAGTGACACTCTATAATAACTACTACTACTACTACTACTACTACTACTACTACTACTACTACTACTACTATTACTACTACAACTACTACTACTACTGTCACTGCACCGACTGTTACTACTACTACTACTACTGTCACTGCACCGACTGTTACTACTACTACTACCACTAGTACTACTACTACTACTACTACCACCACCACTTCTACTACTACTACTACTACTACTACTACTACTACTACTACTACTATCACCACCACCACCACTACTACTGTCACTGCACAAACTGTTACTACTACCACCACCACCACTACCACCTCTACTACTACTACTACCACTAGTACTACTACTACTACTACCACCACCACTTCTACTACTACTACTACCACCACCACTTCTACTACTACTACTACCACTACTACTACTGCTACTACTTACTACTACTTCTACTACTACTACTACTACTACTACTACTACAACAACAACTACTACTACTACTAGTACTACAACAACTACTACTACTACTAGTACTACTACTACTACCACCACCACCACTTCTACAACTACCGCTACTGTCACTGCCCCAACTGTTACTACTACTTCTACTACTACTACTACTACTACTACTACTTCTACTACTACTGCTACTACTTATTACTACTTATACTACTACTACTACTACTACTACAACAACTTCTACTACTACTACTACTACTACTACTACTTCTACTACTACTGCTACTACTTATTACTACTTATACTACTACTACTACTACTACTACAACAACTTCTACTACTACTAGTACTACTACTACTACCACCACCACCACTTCTTCTACTACCACTAATGTCACTGCCCCAACTGTTACTACTACTACTACTACTACTACTACTACTACCACCACCACCACCACCACTTCTACTACTACTACTGCTTTCACTGCACCGACTGTTACTACTACTACTATCACCACCACCACCACTACTACTGTCACTGCACAAACTGTTACTACTACTACCACTACTACTACTACTACGACTACAACTACTGCTACTACTTACTACTACTAATACTACTACTACTACTACTACTACTACTACTACTACTACTACAACAACTACTACTACTTCTTCTAC